ATCACCCATGGCTAATGTGGGTAAAGATGGCAAACACTGGGCATGGCCTTTTGAGGAACTCAGGGTAGGGCTCACCTTTCTGCGGTTAGGCTCTGTCTCTGCTTGGGCTAAGCACGACCCCTCGTTTCAGCCATAGTCAGCTAATCCCTGCTTTTCAAATGTAATGTCAGAAACAAATGACTTGTGTATTTCCTTTTAGTATTACTTTTAAAATAAGATTTATTTAACTAATGTGCACTGGTGTTTTATCTGTATATACTCTGTGTGAGGGTATTAGATCACCTGGAATTGGAGTTACAAACAGTTGCAAGCTGCCACGTGGGTGCTGGGAATTGAGACCAGGTCCTCTGAAGAGCACTCAGTGCTCTTAACCACTGAGCCATCTCTCCATCCCCTTAGTATTATTTTTAAGTAATTCTTGTCTCATGTAATTTGTCATAAATGCAAGTCCTCTCACTTTGGAGAGGAGGAAAACCTGGGATAACCTAAAATGCATAGGGTAATGTGAATTAAAATAATTGTTTAACTATGTAAAGTTATGTTGCCTTTGTTTGTATTGCAGAATAATTGTTTAACTATGCAAAGATGTGTTGCTGTTTCACTTTGCCTGCCTAAGGCACCTGATTGATCTAATAAAAAAGCTGAATGACCAACAGCTTGGCACAGGAGGGATAGGTGGGACTGGCGGGCAGAGAAAAAAGGGCAGCTGGAGGATAGGCAGGGCTGGCAGGTGGGAAGAAAGAGGGAACTGGGTGCCTGCCTACACGGAGGAAGCAGGAAAACAGATGGACAGTACTAGTACTTCGATGAGATAAACGAGCCTCAGGGCAACACAGAGATAAATAGAAATGGGCTAATTAAGTTTAAAAAAAAAAAAGCTAGTGCTTTTAATCCCAAAACTCAAGAGGCAGAGGCAGGTGGGTCTCTGAGTTTAAGGGCAGCCTGGTCTATAAGAACTAGTTCCAGGACAGGCTCCAAAGCCACAGAGAAACCCTGTCTCGAAAAACAAATAAAACAAGTAAACAAACAAAGGCTACCTAGAAACAAGCCTAATCTAAGGCTGAGCATTCATAATTAATAATAAGTGTGTATCATGATTTGGGGACTGGCAGTCCCAGAAAGCCTGCTATAGGATAGGAGCTCACATTTACAAGACCTAAGGACCAGAGCCCTGGATTATTTGGTGTTCCTGCTGCAGGCTTTCAAGGAGCAGAACTCTGCCTTAGGACAGACTAGACAGACGCCTCTAGTCAGCAGCAGTGGCCTCACTGTTGATCTACAGAGTGGCCACCACTATAGGTACAAGCATGCTTGTGGTCATTTGGGGCCCACATGAGGTGACAACCATGCTGCTGTCATGCATTCAACTCCTCTGTCCCTGTGACACTTTACTGTCTGGCCTGTCTGTATACTCAGGGCCTGTCCCAGATCTGGTGAACCCGAAAGTCTCACGTTGAGATTTCATCTACTCTGTTTTTAAAAAAAACAACCAAACTCTTTTGAGATGGTCTCTTTTTTTGCTGTGCTGTCCATGTTTGCTCTGTGCTGGCTAAATACATCACAGATAACCCCAAAGTGGTGACACATGCCTTTTATCCCAGCACTCGGGAGGCAGAGGCAGGTGGATCTCTGAGTTCGAGGTCAGCCTGGTCCACAGAGCCAGTTCGAGGACAGCCAAGGCTACAACAGAGAAACCCCGTCTTGAGAGAAAACAGACTGAGCAGTAGGATTTGCTGAAGGAGCCGGAGGAGGCAGGAGGATCACGAGTTCAAGGCCAGCCTGGGCTACACATTTAAAAAAAAAAACCAGACTGAGTACAGGACAGGATGTCCCGCTGTTTTAAGCGGCCTCCAAGTGTATTATTAACATGACTACGAGGTCCAGCTAAAGTTCCAACTCCTTAAACGTAAAAGATATTTTCACAAACTGGTATTGCTACAGATGCGATGACTGAGCTTGCGAGCAGCTCAGATCCTGAGAATGCAGTCCTGTGCCCTGCGACGTTTGCTCCTGTCTTTCACGTCAGAGAAGTCCATGATTTGCTTTCACCTGTGCGAAGAATGGGCTCCGAGGTGAAAACCATGGAGCTAGATGCCGAGCGGAGACTCGAGACAGTTCTAGGAAGAGTGTTAACTGACCGCAGGTTCAGGCTTCAGGGACCCCGAGAAGATCTAGACCACACACTTCACGTACCCCAAAGTTTGCAACTAGTCAGAAGAATCAGAACAACAGCTCCCCCATGCCTGACCCTTCCTGCCTCAGCATACATTGATTTCCATAACCTGGCCATAGAGAGCCGTAGACTGTCCCTGCAGGAGGACGTGTTGGGTTTACGACTCCATAATGAATATTGAGATAGTTTTAAAAAATTTTAGCACGCCTTTAATCCCAGCACTCGGGAGGCAGAGGCAGGCGGATCTCTGTGAGTTCGAGACCAGCCTGATCTACAGAGCGAGTTTCAGGACAGGCTCCAAAACCACAGAGAAACCCTGTCTCGAAAAACCAAAAAAAAAAAAAAATTTTTAAATTGCATGTCTTTAATTTGTTGGGGAAGGAGCATGCCACAGTGCTCATAAGCGGACCAGAGCACAACTTTTGTGAGTTGGCATTTTCCTTCCATCACGTGGGCTGCTGGGATCTAACTCAGGTCCTCAGGCTTGGCAGCCAGCATCTTTACTCACGGAGCCACCATGCTGACCCCCTCTGCCCCCCTTTTTTATCCGAGGTAGGTTTACAAAGTAAAAAGGTTTATATTGCTCCAGTTTCCAGTCCACAATTCCTCGAGCCTACATAGCAGCACATCATGGTGGAAGGCTGTGCCAGAGCAAAACTGCTCATCTCAGCACAAGAAAAAAGTCACCGCGGTGACTACCACCTCCCAGTGGTAGCACCCTATTGATCAAGATGTCAACACACGGGCTTGGGGGGGGCGGTTGTTGAATATCCCAACTGTAGAAGATTGCAACAGGAAAGGAGCCCGTTGTCAGTCTCCTGTGGGTCCAGGATGAGGATGTCAAACGAGGCTGGTTTCCTACTCAGGGCTAAGGGGAGAAGCCAGTTGGAACAGGTAGAGTAGTTGAAGGGGAATGAAGATTTCAGATGTTTAGGAGGGTCGCCTTAGAGATGTGTTAAACTTTCTCTGAGGGGTCTGACTATAAATCCTAAATCACTGGTTCTCCACCTTCCTAATGCCATAGCCCCTTAATACAGTTCCTCATTTTGTGGAGACTCTCAATTATAAAATTATTTTTGTTGCTACTCCATAACTATAGTTTTGCTAGTTATGAATTGTTATATAAATATCTGTGTTTTCTGATGGACTCTGTGAAAGAGTCGTTCAAACTAAGAGATTAGATTGGCTCTGTCTCTGCCAAGAGTGCATCACAGCAGAAATCTGGAATTGAGGGGCTGTCGAGATAGTTCAGGGGTTAGCAGCGCAGACTGCTCCAGCAGAGGACTCCCTTCAGTTCCAGCACCTACTTATGTCAGGTGGATAACAACTGTCTGTAACTGCAGCTCCAAGAAATTTGACACTTCTCACTTCTGCAGGCACCAGCACTTAGGACGGCTTGTGCAAAATCCTAGATTCTTGTGCAAAATGTGACCTTGAAAGATAAGGAGCCCTGTTACTTGACTTTATGGGACCTTGAGAAAGACAAAAACATCAGTTTCTTCGTTTTAATGTAGGGACAAAAGGATCTTTTTCATTGGTTACTGAAGAGGTCAAATGAGTACACAGGAATAACACAGAAGTGTACCAAACTAAAACCCCAGGGCTGTCAGATGTTAGAGTGAACATTCTCCAGAGGTGATCTGAAGGTAGTAACAGGGACACCAAGTTCCCAAGAATGCTGCCTATTGAGCACCCCGGGTATGATAGTTCATCTTGCTATGCTATACGTAAAGCTCCTTGCAATTCTGTTCTTTTTGTTTTGTCTTTATGTACTCTGACTGTCCTAGACCTTGCTCTGTAAACCAGGCTGGCCTCAAACTCAGAGATTCCCATCTCTGGAGTGTTGGGATAACAGGTGTGCCACCTCCGCCTGACTGCTATTCTGTTATGTTACACTCCTACAAAAGGTATTTTCAGAATGTGTACTGATAAAAATTCCTGGGAGCCCTTCAAAAACTTTGGATTCTGAGTATTAATGGCACATGCCAATTAATTCCTACATGCAAGAGACTCAGTTGGGATTGAGTTCCTTGGGGGCAACCTGACCCACATAGTGAAACCCTGTCTCCAAAACAAAACCTTTCAATAAAATGGGGTGCAGATAAGGGCCAACTTATTGGCTTATAAGTCTGTACTTGTGTCAGGTTTTTTTTTTTTTGAGAAAAATCAATGTTTGTCCATATTACAATCTCCTTACTCCACAGTAATATACGAAGCTATCTTTTTATCTTTTTCTGAGATGGTTTCTCTGTGTAGGGGTGGTTGCCTGGAAATTACTCTATAGACCAGGATGGCTTTGAACTCAGAGATCCACCTGCTTCTGCCTCTCAAGTCGTGGGATTAAAGGCGTGCCATGCTTCTAAACTACCCATGGAGAGATGAGGGCTAAAGTACTAGGCTAGTCCAGTGGACACATTCAAAAGTCATAATACATTAAATGCACCGCTAACACCGAGTGGCTTTACCTCACCGTCAGCCGGTGCACCAGCTGATGGCCCTGCAGAGAACACATCTATATTTGCATAAACACCTACATGTTCAAAACCACCCTGTGACCAAGCTTGTCATATGGCCCACCTTCCAGAACACCTGTCATCCTCTGATTGGACTCTTCATTGTCACAAGCTGTACTCATGGGCTTTTTGTTTTAGATTTATTATTTTATGAGTATGAACGAACGCTTTGCCCGCAAGTGTGTGTGTGTACCACATATGTGCCTGACGTCTTGGTGCTGGATCCCCTGCAACTGGAATTACAGAAGATTGTGAACCACCATGTGGGTTCTGAGATGAACTCACATGTAAGTGCTCTTAACCACTGAGCCAATCCTCCAGGCCCATACTAATGTTTTAATATTTAAAATCTGCATTTAATGTCATACATACTAAGCATTATGTACTACATATTTAGTATTTGTAATGTCTCCCCCTCTTGCCTCCCCACCAGGATGTCATCTTCAGGAAGGCAGGAATTTAAGGCAAAAAACTAAGACATGTACACACCAAAGCAAAAGAAGCAGAGGGCTCAGGTCAGGCTGAGCAACCTTGTTGTATATTGTAATAGGTCCTTATCTGAACCCTACAACTCCACATGGCCTCGTCCAGTTGCACATAGCAATGGCTAGGGAAGGGGCAAGTATAAGGTTTAACACCCAAGTAGAAGAACATGTTTTATTATTTTTTTAAAGATATATTTATTATGTATAGTGTTTTGCCTGAATGTCTACCTGCATGCCAATAGAGGGCACCAAATCTCACTAAAGACGGTTGTGAGCCACCATACGGTTGCCAGGAATTGAACTTAGGACCTCTGGAGGAGCAGCCAGTGCCCTTAACCGCTGTGCTATCTCTCCAGCCCATGAACATGTTTTTAATAGTTGCTTTACCTCTTTAGCCTAAATAGAATCTTGCTGTGTAACCCAGACTGCCCTTAAACTCAACCATTCTCCGGCCTCACCCTTCCAAGTGCTGAGAGTATAAATTGTGCCACTGTGCCCGTAGTTCACTCATAAAAACAAACCCCAAAAGTCCGAAAGTCACAGCTGTCTTGTCCCTTCAACAAAATACATCCTTACACGCAGTCCCTCAGATGAGGTGGGCTTCATGACCTGGGGGCTGTGAGCTCTGGTACCAGTTTCAGCACCCACTGCCAGGGTTCAGTCTTGCAGTTTGCGCTCACACTTTTTCTCCAGTTCGGCCAACTCCTTAAGGACCAAGGCTATACTGTACCGCAGCTCCTGAAATTTGGTCACGGGTACCTCAAAGCGGTGTGCGGATCCATCCGTGAGCTTCAGCTGCATGAGAACACTCGGTTGCAGGGAGCGGGACTGAGCACTGGTGGAGATGGCCACATCCACCCGCCACCGGAAGTCAGACAGGTGGGGCAGCCAGGACCCCTGCTGTTGGACCACGGCGTCGAGAAGTGGGCGCTGACTCCCTAATGCCAAACTGGTCAAATCTTCAATCATATCTTGAGGAATGCCAAGCTCCTGGAGCTGGTCCTGGAAGGCTTCTGGCTTCAGACTGGCAGGGTTCCGCCGGAGAGCCTGCTGGAGCAGTGTGTGTGTGCCTGCCAACAGGACGGCCAGCCGCTCCTCCGACAGGTTAGCACTGGCACCAAGCTGTTGCACGGCTTCTCTGCAGTCTTTGCCATGCAGGGCCCCGACGACAAGCTTCAACAACTTTCTGAAGGTGCTCCTGTCCAAGTCCCTCATGAGCGGAGCCACTGCCGCCACTTCTGGAGAAGGCTGGGCTCCCAGGAAACTGACTCGGCCACCATGACTGTCAGCTGGATGGTGCAAGTACGGAGCTGCAGCCCCCAAAGCAGACATCCTTGCTTCCCCTTTCCTGATCAGTCCGGAGAGAAGGTGCTAACCACAACTGCCTGGAGAAGTGAAGAAGAGACAAGTGACTCACTGGCCAGGGGCTTCATGTATCAAAAAATGAGATTCGATGTGGTGCCCCATCCGCCTGTCACTGGTCACATGAGCCACCAACGATAGACAGTAAACGGGACACGTGCTTGGAAGGTGGCACTGAGACCGGATGGCAAAGGAGTCCGTCCACCTGAGTCTAGAAGAGAGGCCGTCCAGAGATCAGCAGTTGGCAGGAAAAAGAACCAAGAAACAGAAGTGCACGCGTAAGTCCTACGTAAGCAGTATAAGTGAATTTGGACAATGCAGCTGAGACCCCTCCCCTACTCAAGCCCGAATTCTTATCATAGCTCTGGAAGACCTAATGGTCTCACTTTACAAATATAAACCATTCCTTTAAAGCCCTCGGCACCTGGAGGAAGCTGTCCACTGATAGCTTACCGCGGCTGGAGAAGCAGGAAGTTGACCGGACCTCGGGAAGGGTCCAGAGACACTTCCGGGCTACTCTAGGATAGCGTTGATAGGGCACCTCTATGGTTTCCGGAGCCGCGCACGCGCAGAGGGGCAGCAGGACTCTGGCGCTGTCTTCTGACCTGATTTTTGGGAGAGGAAGCAGAAGTCATTCAGTTTCCGGGATCCTACTCAAAGCTGTACCTGTCCTGCGCATAGGCGGTCCAGTATGAGGGCACACGCTAGAATTGTTGTAGTTGGTGCTACCGAATTACATATTTTAAAATAGTTAGATGGGCCAGGCGACAACTCACGTCTTTATAGCCAGCGCTCAGGCCAGGCATGGTGGCACAGGCCTTTAATCCCGCATTTGGGAGACCTAGGTTGGTGGACGTCTATGAGTTCAAGGCCAGCCTGGTCTACAAAGTTAGTTCCAGGACAGCCAGGACTGTTGCACGGAGGAATCCTGTTTTGAAAAACCAAAAGAAAAGAAAAAAAAATCCAAAAAACAAGAATAACAAAAACAGCACTCGTGAGGTACAGGTAGGCAGATCTGTATGAAATGTAGGCCAGCCTGGCTTAGCTATTCAATTTCTGGGCAGCCATCGGGACCATGCCGATGCCTGTGGCCTGCACTAAGTGAGACCCTGTTTTAAGAACAGAACCCCTAGAAATTCTAGCAAATTTTGACAAAATCTGACAGATTTTGCCTTATTTTCTTTTGAGTGACCTAAACAGACCCCTTTGCCTGTTTTACCTCTTTGCTATTTCCTAAGATTGATTTTTTATTTTGTGTGTGTGGATGTTTTGCCTGTATGTATGTGTGTCTGTGTAACACTGTGTGCCTGGTGCCTATGAAGGTCGAAAGAGGGCATTAGATGCCCTGGAACTAAGGTTGCAGACAGTTGTGAGCTGCCTTAGAGGTGCTGGGAATCAAACCCCTGGGTCTTCTGGAAGAGCAGCTAGTGCTCTGAGCCATCTCTCCAATCCCTCATCCATCCATTCATTCATTTTAAATTTTATGTGTATGTAGTTTTGCCTGAATATTGTATGTGCTTGACATACACACCTGATCAGAGGCCAGAAAAGGGTATTGGACTGGAACCAGGGACAACTGTAAGCTGCCTCATTCCCTCTTGATTGCTTCAACACTTTACAAACCCAATTTACAAACCAAAGTGACTTCACTTTTCCAGAGGTTCTACCTCAAAGATTCTATCCATCATGGGGCTCGGCAAAGCCATTGAAGCCCACCTCATCCCAAGCCCCATATCAACCCTCTTTTTTTTCTTTTTTGAGATAGGGTCTCACTATGTAGTCCTAATTAACCTAGGATATAAACCAGGTCTGCCTCAAACTCATAGAAAACCACCTCCCAAAGGCGTACACAAGCAACCCCTTTTTAAACTCTACTGCGAGGCTGGAGAGATGGCTCAGAGGTTAAGAGCACTGACTGCTCTTCCAGAGGTCCTGAGTTCAATTCCCAGCAACCACATGGTGGCTCACAACCATCTGTAATGAGATCTAGTGCCCTTTTCTGGCATGCAAGCATACATGGAAGGAATGTTATATACATAATAAATAAATCTTTCAAAAAATAAAAATAAACTCTACTGTGACATGTGATGTGAACGAGATGTCCCTGTATTCTCAGGCATTTAAATACTTGGTGATGCTGCTTAGGAGAGCTTAGGAGGTACGGCTTGCTGGAGAAAGTACATCAGTAGAGGTCAGCTCTGAGAGTCTAAAGACTCTTGCCAGCTGCGTGTGGTGGCCCATATTTCTTTTTCTTTTTTTTTTTTCTGGTTTTTCGAGACAAGGTTTCTCTGTGGTTTTGGAGCCTGTCCTGGAACTAGCTCTTGTAGACCAGGTTGGTCTCGAACTCACAGAGATCCGCCTGCCTCTGCCTCCCAAGTGCTGGGATTAAAGGCGTGCGCCACCACCGCCCGGCTGGCCCATATTTCTAATCTTAGCTCTCGGGAGATAAAGAAGTATCGCTGAGTTTGTGGTCAACCTAGTCTACATAGTGAGTTCTATATAAGGCAAGGCTATATAGAGAGACTGTCTCAAAACAAAAAAAATAATTGAATTAAAAATAAAGAGGCGGGACTGGAGAGATGGCTTAGTGGTTAAGAGCACTGACTGCTCTTCTAAAGGATCCAGGTTCAATTCCCAGCACCCACGTGGCAGCTCACGTGGTAATTCCAAGATCTGGAATACATTCAGACAAAACACTAATGCATATAAAATAAGAATAAAAGTTATAAAAATATTTTGAAAAATATAAGGATGCTTGCCGTTTAGAGTTTACTCTCTCTGCTTCCTTTTGGGGTTTGAGACATAAGCCCTCAGACCTCAGCTTCCAGCTCCAGGTGCCACGCATGCCTGCTGCCCTGCTTCCCCACCTGATAATGACTTATCCCTTTGGAGCCATAAACCCTGCCTTTTATAAGCTGCCTTGGACATGATGCTTTTTCACAGTAACAGGACGGTAACTGAGGCAGAAGATGGGACAAGGGAGTCGTCTATTACTGTGAAGGGCTGATCATGTATTTTTTTAAACGAATTTGGAAGGCTTTGGGACTTTGAGCTAGAAAACTGGTTAAATTGTTGTGTAGAAAAATGAATTTTTAAAAAAGATTTATTTATGTGTATGAGTGCGCCATCTGCATGTGTGCCTATGCATCAGAGGAGGGCATCAGATCCCATTAGAGATGGTTGTGAGCCGCTATGTGGTTGCTGGGATTTGAACTCAGGTCCTCTGGAAGAGCAGCCGGTGCTCTTGACTGTTCAGCCATCTCTCCAGCCCAAATGTTTTAATTGTCATGCTGTCCAAATCCACTGAGAGAAACCAAGACTTAGTTTCAATTTAAATTTAAATTAAATGAATTCATCCTTTGTTTTTCACGGTTTTTCTGTGTAGTCCTGGTTGTCTTAGAACTCGCTCTGTAGATCAGGCTGGCATCAAACTTAACAGAGATTTACTTACCTCTGTCTCCCAAGTGCTGGGGTTAAAGGCATGTACCACCACGGCCTGCTTCATCTTCTGTTTTTTATAGTTAGCCCTCCTCCAAACCCAATTTGAGCAGCCAAGGTGCTTTACAAAACACAACCCCAGGGTAGAAGTGTGGCTCAATGGCAGGAATAAGGCAAGGCCCAGGGTTCCAATCCAAGCTCAAGCTTTAGGAAGAAAACCTAAACGGCCCTGTAAGGTTCTCCGAGTGGCATCCCATATTCTAGAATAAAATGCCAAATCCTAACTGGGCTTACAAGCTGTGGCCCATGCGCCACTCTCCCATCTCATTCCGTGTACCCCAATTCCAGCGTCCTGGGTCATGGCACAGTGTTCCACAGCCTGAACCATTCCCCTCTTGACAGTGGCCTCAAAAGGTCTGTTAGGTAGACATTCAGGAGCAGAACTGAGGGACACACATCGGGAGAACACAGATGGTTTGTGGTCCTTCCCTTGGTCCAGACTGTCCGTCCATTCTCTGGCCTCCCCTGGCTGGTGAAGAACTGGGTAGGTGCTAGTGTGGTGTGGCGCCTGCACCACAGGATGGTTTGTGAGTCGGGCAAGGGCTGGAAATTGAAACACACACACACACACACACGGGGGGGGGTATCCTTGAAACAAGAATGCCCCTATATTGTGTTCCAGGGCAGCTTATATAGGGCTCTCCTTGACTAATGGCCATGCCCTAACTGTTGAGATTTTTGAGCTGCAAGCCCACCAGAAACCACTCCCCTGCCATCAGGCACTCATGAGGGTCTTGTGCTCAGAGCAGCTGCAAACATAGAAAAATAAGTTGTTTACTCCGGCAGGTAAGGGGTCACAGGAAATTCAGGGTCTGCAGACCCCAACAGTGTAGGTCTGCTGTTTGTAATTGAGGGAGAGGATGTGCACGGTGCTTTCTTATCATTCCTCTACCTGGGGTGTTGATGTACACATCTGCATATTAGTTCTTATGACTACCCCTACGGCAGAACATTTTCAGATAACTAGCTCGGATTTTAGAATGGGAGATATTCTGGGTCACATAAGCAAGCTCCTGAACCCCAACATGACTTCAAGCCCTCGTCAGGTGGTCATGGTACTTCTACATTGGTATCTACATTTCTGCATTGGTATTTTGCCTGCATGTCTGTGTGAGCGTGTCAGATCCCCTGGACGTGGAGTTACCAGCAATTGTGAGCTTCCATGTGGGTGCTGAGAATTGAACCCAGGTTCTCTGTGAAAACAGCCTGTGCTCTTAACCACGGAGTCATCTCTCCAGTTCCTGGCCATGGTATTTCTTTTTTTTTTTTTTTTTTTTTTTTTTGGTTTTTCGAGACAGGGTTTCTCTGTGGTTTTGGAGCCTGTCCTGGAACTAGCTCTTGTAGACCAGGCTGGTCTGGAACTCATCTCTATGAGTTCCGCCTGCCTCTGCCTCCCGAGTGCTGGGATTAAAGGCGTGCGCCACCACCGCCCGGCTGGCCATGGTATTTCTAAACCTAGCATTGGTGTATTCCTAATGCTGGCGTTCCATCCCCACCTAAAAAGCATTCAGGAACCATACCTGCCTCTCAGAATAAGGGGGATGCGGTCCTGAGTGGCTGTGGTGGAGACAGATTTTCAGAGGCATCAACTGGGGGTAAAGCTGTAAGTCAGGGGTAGAGCACTTGAATAGCACACTTCAGCCCTCGGTTAGTACCTCAGACAGGACACTGAGAAGGGATAAGGTGAAATGAATTCCAGCATCTTTGCTTTTGGCTTCCTTTTCAATGAGTTACAGGGTTATTCCCTTATGTTAAGGAACTGGTCCAGAGGGAAAACATTTGGGGTTACTACTTATGTAAACGCAGGGTCTCTGTGACTGTTTGCATCTTCCTGGGTGCTGGGATGGCAAGTATGTACCAGCAGACCCGGGTTTGGTGGCTTCACTCAAGCTGCTTCTTACAAGAAATCCTGATATTGATTTCTCATCTGTAGGACAGAGATCTCCTCCAAGTTCAAAACACAGCTACACGTGGAGTGGGACGCACACTTTACTTAATGGATGAATGCCAAACATTCCAGAAACAAAACATTATTTTCATAAGTAGAATATTTTTTGAGAACAAATCTGAATCTCCCCCAGCAATCTCAAGTTTCTGTTAGCATAAATTACTCAAATAAAATAAGGCTTCAGGTTTATTCAGTTACATATTTATAGTGTGGCGGTCTGAATGAGAACGACCCCATAGGCTCGTATGTGTGAACACTGGGCCCTCAGTTGGTGGAGCTGTTTGGGAAATTAGGAGGTGTGGTCTTGAAGGAGATGTGTCACTGGGGGTGAGCTTTGAGTTTCAAAAGCCTCTCCATTCCCAGTTAGTCCTCTCTGCTTAGTAACTGTCTCAAGATGTGAGCTCTCAGCTACTGCTCCAACACCATGCCTACCTGCCTGTCTCCTGCCCTGCCCCCACCATGATAGCCATGATGCTCCCTGGAACTGTAAGCCCCAAATAAACTTTTTTTTTAAAGATTTATTTATTTATTTATTTATTATGTATACAGTGTTCTGCCTGTGTGCATACCTGCACCCCAGAAGAGGGCACCAGATCTCAGTACAGATGGTTGTGAGCCACCATGTGGTTGCTGGGAATTGAACCCAGGACCTCTGGAAGAGCAGCCAGAGCTCCCAACCTCTGAGCCATCTCTCCAGCCCCCCCAAATAAACGTTTTAAATTTACCTTGCCTGTAGTGTCATCACAGCAATAGAAAAGTGACCAACACACTTAGGTGAATGATTTATCCCATGTGAATCTTTTGGTGCTGAGTGAGCCTGGAGCTCCGATTAAAAGCTTTGCCACAAGTGTTACATGTGTAAGGCTTCTCTCCTGTGTGGATCCTCTGGTGTATGATCAGGTGTGAGCGCCATCTGAAAATCTTGTCACACTCGTCACACTGGTGCAATTTCTTTACAGTGTTCACTTTTTTAGAATTCAAAAAAGTGTCACTTTCAACCGTGTTTCCAAATTCACAGTACCACTGGGCTCGAGTGTGGATCCTCTGGTGTTCAATGAGGTATGAGCTCCGGCTGAAGGCCTTTCCACACTCACTGCACTCATAGGGCTTCACTCCAGCATGGATTATCTGGTGTTGGAAAAGGGTTGAATTTTGACTGAAGGCTTTTCCACACTCGTTACACTTGTAGGGTCTCTCTCCGGTGTGAACCCTCTGGTGGATGGTGAGCTGCGTGCTCATACTGAAGGCTTTCCCACACTGCGTGCATTCATACGGCTTCTCTCCCTTATGGATCCTCTGGTGATAAATGAGACTGGAGCTCTGGCTGAAGGCCTTCCCGCAGTCATCGCACACGTAAGGCTTCTCCCCGGTGTGGATTCGCTGGTGCTGAATAAGATGGGAGCCCTGGACAAAGCCCTTCCCGCAGTCGTCACATTTAAACGGTTTTTCTCCTGTGTGAGTTCTCTGGTGGCGAATGAGCCGGGAGCTACAACCGAAGGCTTTGGTGCACCTGTTGCACTTGTAAGGTTTCTCTCCGGTGTGGATCAGCCGGTGCTGGCTCAGGCGAGACACCCACCTGAAAGCTTTGCCACACTCCTCACACTTGAATGGCTTCTCTACAGTGTGATTTCCCTCATGGGCAACGAGGCTTGAGTTCCCTGAAGTTCTTGGCATTTGAGATTTCTCCCCACTATGCATCCTCTGATGCTGGGCTAGAGTTGAGCTCTGGCTGAAGGCCTTGCCACACTCCCGGCAGGGGTAGGGCCTCTCTCCAGTGTGAGTCCTTTGATGTCTGACCAGCTGTGATTGCTGGCTGAAGGCTTTCCCACAGTCTTGACAACTATAGGGCCTCTCTCCTGTGTGAATTCTCTGATGATGGATAAGGCTTGAGCTCTGACCAAAGGTTTTCCCACACTCCTCACATCTGTAGGGCCTCTCTCCTGTGTGGATTCTTTGATGCTGAATCAGTTTTGAGCTCAAACGGAAAGCTTTCCCACACTCAACACATTTAAATGGTTTCTCTCCGGTGTGGATTCTTTGATGCTGGTTGAGTTGTGAGCACAGCCTGAAGACTTTCCCACATTCCTTGCATTCATAAGGCTTCTTCCCAAGGCAGTTACTTGTGTGCGTCTCCTCTAAGCAGTCAGCTAGGTTTCTTTGGCACTCTTGACATCTGTATGCTTTTCCCTGTCCACTCACTTCCACATATGGATCCAGGTTCAGAGTTGGTTTAAAGACTCTACCACACTCTTCACAGTTTTCTGATGTCCCTTTCACACTGTTTCTCTGTTTGTCAGGCTGAGAACCCAGAACAGTGGCCTGTAGCTCCTTGCTTTCCTGGACAGTGTCCTGGGGAGCCATAGTCTCATTACTGAGATGATGTTGCTGGGAAAGGGAGCCACTCACTCCTAGGCCAAGGCTATTCGAGCAGTTCTCCGACAAGACTGTGGAATCCAAATGGTCTCCAAAGGCAGGAATCTGCTTTTCGGGAATGTTCATGTACTCACAGGTCTGCTTGTGATTGGTTCTAATAGTAGAATCTGAAACAAGCACAAAGTAGAAACATTCTTGACATCTGAGCTCGGGGAGAAGGCAAAGATGAGCAGTGCCTTGTGGGAGTGTCAGCACTACAACACCCCAGTGGAAAGATGAGCAGTGCCTTGTGGAAGTGTCAGCACTACAACACCCCAGTGGAAAGATGAGCAGTGCCTTGTGGGAGTGTCAGCACTACAACACCCCAGTGGAAAGATGAGCAGTGCCTTGTGGGAGTGTCAGCACTACAACACCCCAGAGGAAAGATGAGCAGTGCCTTGTGGGAGTGTCAGCACTACAACACCCCAGTGGGAAGATGAGCAGTGCCTTGTGGGAGTGTCAGCACTACAACACCCCAGTGGGAAGATGAGCAGTGCCTTGTGGGAGTGTCAGCACTACAACACCCCAGTGGGAAGTGTAGCAAGGAGATAGAAGGGGAAATGCTCACAATTTAGTTCACTGGACAGTGATGGCATACTCTGTCTACAAGGCAGAGGGCTGAGAGTTTCATGTCCTAAGAGGGTCTACAAGAAGTGTTTCACCCTATAGGGCACTGAGGAGGGAATATCTTAGAGTAAGCAAAACAGACTGGACAGAACAAGTCTGAGGACAGAATTCATCAGAGCAGGTCAGCGACCTGCAAACATGCTAGCTGGCAAGTGAAGACAACAAGGGTGTCTGACCAAAACACAGACAGGAATGTTGAGACCCTGGCTGAAGAAGAGGTGGTATCTTAGCAGGAAGATCCCAGAGCAGAACTGGGTGCTCAGCCTATCCATGGCTGGCCTCTAAGGTGGACTTCTCTGAAAAGAACTGAAATTGCAAACCCACATCTGGCAAGCCTTGCTATAGGTGTGATGGTTACTGTCATGTTGGTACAGTCTAGGATTACCTGGAAAGAGGGAACCTCGACTAGAAACTGCCCAGGTCAGGTTGGCCTGTGGCCATCTGTGAGTTTGTCTTGATTTTTTGTTTGTCTTTGTTTGATGATTTATTATGGACAGACCTAGGCAGTTTTATCCAGACTGCACAAGGAAGTGGGCTGAACACAACCGGAGTGTAAGATGGAAAGCGGTGTTTATCCATTGTGCTTCAGTTTCTGCCCTGACTTGGGGCCTGGAAATGTAAACCACAATGAACCCTTTCCTTCCGAAGCTGGTTTTAGTTAGAATGTTTGATCATGTGACAAAACAGATACGAACACTAAGCCATTGGCTGAGTGACCACACCCAGTAGTTAACATTGATTTTTCTCCCTGGGGAAAGGTCCTTATTCAGACCTTCTGTAACAGGGCCTAGGCCTTACCTGTCTGGCAAATCCATGGTGCCTCTGTCCCCTCTGCTCCCTGTAGGTCAAGGACCCATGGCTCTTGTCCTTGCTCCAGTCGAGAGATCAGTTCAGGCTTAAAGACCAGGAATCCTGCTGTGTGAGGCAGAGAAGGAGAGGATGGAAACACAGCCAGGAGTCAGTCCTGCTCCTCGCTCCCAGTCATGAAGAACAGGAGCTGCTAGACTATGCAGAACCTATCGGGAGGGTGATGAGGGACGAGGCTGGATACATAGCAGCCCCTTCACTCTAGCTCCTTAGATTAGACAGGAAGGGGCACCCAGACTTCCACAGTCTTCAGGGAACACTGTCACTGAAGAAGAGGCCAGATCTAGTTGGGGTACAAGAGGCATAGGAAGCTTAAGCCCAAGACAGCACCACATTCTGCAAAGCCACGGCCGTTTCTTCCCCCAGTTCAAAAGACAAGGATACTCCAAGAGGTAGGGGTAGCCAAGAAAAAAAAAACCTTAAAATTAGTAAGCAATTAAATAAATGAAGAAGATTTCAAATCACAAGTACTGGATCCAGACTCCATTTATGGCCAGTTCATAGAAGTGAGGAAGGTGTTGATCCAATCAGGGATCCACAAAGCAGGCCTAGACAGATGGCTAAACAGTGAAGAGCATTTGCTCCTCTTCCAGGCCATCTCCTAGCACCTACACAGCAGCTCTCAAACGTCTATAATTCCAGTTCTAGCGGTTCACAGACATACATGTAGGCAAAACACCCATACACGTTGAAAAAAAAAAAAGATAATAGCGTTTGGCTTCTCACAACATGGAAAAAGAGGCAAAGGCGTCTGCGAGATCCATCAGCCATGTCTAACCTGCAGCCCACTGTCACACACGACAAAGACAGTGATGAATGAGGCCCAAGAAAAAGTCATGAACTTGACTGAAATGTGAAACGTCTGTTTGTTTTGTTTTGGCAACTCAACTGAAAGGTTCGTGAATGTCAACCTTGTGAAGGGTATCATGTCACTATATCAAAACGTTAAACAAATGGTACAGTAATAGGTTCAAGTTTAAGTAAAGGCAGGCCCCCACGCTCATCAGAAAACTCACAGCATTTCTCAAAAAGAAATATGACCAAAGTTAACATGAGAAGAGGAGAAAATAATGCAAGTATCGTTAGGTATATTTTTTTCTTTTTTTTTTTTCTGAGACATGGTTTCTTTGTTTAGCACCCACCTGCCTCTGCCTCCCGATGCTGGGATTAAAGGTGTGTGTCACCACCATTAGCCTCCTAGCAACCTGGTGGTAGAAAGGACAGGCTGCCAGTGTGCCCGTGTGGGTGTGGCTAGAACCTCAGTTAACCAGTGCTGCAGCTGAACATTAGCATCATCACAGAGAGACATGCAAGTCATTTACCCTGTACTCTTCCAAACTCTCCTATGCTAGTGCCATGATACACATACACTTGTCATCTCAGCAACCACTCAGGCGGCGGAGGCAGAAGGGCTGCTTACAAGCCCGGGAGTTCTAGGTCAGACTGGGTAGCAGAGTGAGGTGGCTATCTCAAAAAGAAAAAAAAAAAACATTCAGTAACTTGGCGCTGAAACGTGAAGCTACTGTCGAAGCAGAAACTACGGGGAAAGAGCAACATTTACTTTGAAACTGGGTAGCTTGCCTAATGGAGCGCGGTTCCTCACAGGCACATTGAAGGTGTATGTGCAAAGGGTCTGAGACAAGACAACATGCAGATGAAGCTGCTGCTCACTGAGCAACTCACAAAAGAAAAGGCCACTATATACTAGGCAAGAAAGCTTAGGGACTGACCCTACAGAAGGCTAAACCCTAACAAAGAAAGAAAACCATCATCATTCCTGGCAGCCCAGGACCCCAGGGAAAGTAGAGAGGGACGATCGAGCAAGTCCTGGCCACTGTACTCCGTGTGTTTTCTTCCTATCAGAGCGACGTGTGATACGTCATATGTGAATCTAAGATAGCACTTGCAAAGTACTGAGTGTGTTTAAATTGTGGGTGGTATAAATCAGTAGTACATTTAATAATGCGCTTTTTAACATGTCGCCTTGGTTTTGGTGAAATCTAACACAAGATATACTGAACATCTAAACACCCACAAGTCAGCAAGGCACAACAATCCGTTTTGTTGTTGTTTGTTTTCTAAGGCAAAAGCGCTACACAAGTACATGATTTCAGAACCTAACAGAGTAATAAGCAAGGATATGACAGGATGCCTAAACTCTCAAAGACTAGACAAACACAAAACCAACACAATCTTAAGTTGTTTTGCTTTCTTTTCCTTTGTCTTGTTTAGTTTAGTTTAGTTTTGGTATTGTTTTCAAAACAGGGTTTCTGTGTAGCCCCGACTATCCTGAACTTGTTCTGTAGACCAGGTTGACCTCAAACTCAGGGATCACCTGCCTCTGCCTCCCAAGTGCTGGGATTAAAGACGTGCGCCACCACCGCCTGGCTTGATTTGTTTTTCTTTTTGCTCTCTGTGGTACAGGGATTGACCCCAGAACAACTTTGTGTGCGACAGAAGAATGATCAACCACTGACCTGTATACACTCCAGCCCTTGCTGTATACTACTTAAGACATCAGAAAACTGGGTTTTGTCAGGTTGTATGGGATGAACAGTTATAGACCTGGTCTAACACAGACAGAAGTACCTGGTAAGCCAAATTCCTCCCATCCCCACCTACCCCACTCCTGGCGCACCAGCCCAGGCATCCTCTCAAGAACTCAGGATACTCCCATATTGTAGACGCCAACATGAGGATGGGGCCAGCCCTGAAGCGGGCTCAGCAGCAGGTGAAACGCTTAGCAACCAGCAGGTAAGACATACATTTTACCACGAAGCTGAAACAAACTACAGAGTGGTATGTGCTGGAGCAGCCTGCAGAGAAGGTAGCAAGAACGGGAGTGATCTGACGGCAGGACCAAAGGAAAGATTGGACTCAAGGTATCACTGACACTCTGGTTCCAGAACAGTTTTCTCTGGAGACTCCTCGAGCTAACAAAAAGATTGTTTTTCTTTTTCTTTGTTGTTGTTGTGTGTGTGCGTTTTAAAGCTATTTCAAGTATGGGTTCTATTTCTCACATGGTAATTTATTTATTTATTTAATTTATTTTTTATTTTTTGGTTTTTCGAGACAGGGTTTCTCTGTGGGTTTGGAGCCTGTCCTGGAACTAGCTCTGTAGACCAGGCTGGTCTCGAACTCACAGAGATCCGCCTGCCTCTGCCTCCCAAGTGCTGGGATTAAAGGCGTGCGCCACCACCGCCCGGCCCTCACATGGTAATTTAATAAGCTTAGGAAAAACAGAGGTTTTACTAGTTCCCAGAAGTGTCCCTACCTAGTAAGGACTAAGCTGGGTGGTGACATGTATAAAGCCTGGAACAGGGCTGGCACACTCAGACTCAAGGTTTAGCCCCTAAGGCGGGGCAGTTAGCATCCACATCCCCTGTCTCTGACAGGTGAGTGGTGGATGTATGGACTGGATCCCCAGGTGTAGCCTCACCTAGTCCAGCCACACTGCTGTGGTTCTCCAGCATCACCTCCCTGTAGAGGGCCCTCTGGCCAGAATCCAGACATTGCCACTCCTCCTGAGAGAAGTGCACAGCCACGTCGCCAAATGTCACCGCCTCCTGAAATCAGGACAGAAGTCCGTAGGTGCCAGCTCCAATCTGGCACTACAACATATCTCAGGCAGGTGACCCATAAGATCGGACTAGAGTCACAGGGGTCCTTTCAACTCTTAAATCAAAGGTGGAGAGAAGGGACTTAGTCCACGGTAGTGATCGTAATTCCTCTCCATCATAGTGGAGAGAAGGGACTTAGCCCATGGTAGTGATGGTAATTCCTCTCCATCATAGTGGAGAGAAGGGACTTAATCCATGTAGTGATGGTAATTCCTCTCCATCATAGTGGAGAGAAGGGACTTAGTCCATGTAGTGATCATAATTCCTCTCCACTGAACAGGCACAGCTAGGCTCTGGTCTGGGTAGACATTTACTCCCTGCCTCAGACACTGAGCCTGGCAAGAGCCACAGGGAGGGCCAAAGCTAGAACTGTGTTCAGGCCCAGTGGAAAGGCAGATCCCCAAAGTAGGAAGTGGAGGCTTGACAGAACCAGTGGGGGATGCAGGGAGCCAGGCTTCCTACCATCAGATTTGGAGGGTGGGGTCCACTTGCCTTGACTCAGACACCTGTGAGAAATTATGAAAAGACGAGAGGTCAGGGCGGAGGAGGCTCCCAATTCCCAGAGTAATCCAGGGGTTTCTGCATCCCCTGCTTCTTCACCACCAACCCCAGGCATACAGGGACACCAGACTTGGGCAAACACAGCCCTGACACTTGAGTATCAGCCACCGAGCCCCTTGCCTGTGTGGGGGAGCGGGGTTGAATCACTTCACAAACACATTAAGAATGGTTGCCACACATTCAACTAAACCACGGGAGAGGCAACCGTGAATTTGCAAGAAGTTTGCCTTCATGAGACACCTAGAAGAGACAAATAACCACACATAAAACCACAACTGTGATAGTGCTGAAGGAAGGGGACTAGGAACATGGTTAAACTAGAAGTCCTGGTAAACTCCGAAATAGTCTTCCCCCAGGGGCTCGGGCCAAAGTACTGGTAGAACCAAAGAAAGCAACCGAAGCAGTTAACCGGAAGCAGGAGACAGGGTTTAGGAGAAAGGATTTCAAGGGGAAAAACTGAACCCCTGTTCACAAGGATCTAAATTCCAGAATAGGCTATAGCTGCCCTAAGTCATAAGGATTCCAGAAGTCCACCTCAGCCAAAGCAAAGCAAAGCCCTTAGGCCCCTCCCTAGCCCCACCTCCCCCCACCTCCGGGCGGGGTCAGAACGGGATGACGCTGGCTTCCTCGGTAGCTTTTGGACAGGTGTCAGGCCATTGGCTGGCCCAAGCAGCAGTGAACACTGGAAAAGCATTCCTCCCTCAGACCCCAGCATTTGGACAGCCAATGGGAAATCGCGGTCCCAGACAGAGGACAAACCCTGAGCTGCCATCTGAGTCCAAAACCCTGACAACACTTTCAGCCTCTGTCACTGACTCTAGGCTTTCAAGGTGCAGAACTGGGGGGGGGGGGGGGGGGGGATGGTCCCAGGAAGTGGTTATTCGGGAAACTAGGGAGGCGGCAGGCGGGTCCAGTCCTGGGGGGAAGCCGCCTAACTCAGGCCCAACACTGGAGCTCGGGAGCAGGCTGGAGGGGCTGTGGTGCTCGGCTATTCGACTCGCATCCGCGGGGACCAAGTCCCGAGCCAGGCACTGAAAACAGCCCCGAGCCGCCCACGCCTCTCATCTCTTCTGGGGGCCCCTTGCCCTGACGACAAGGAATGCAATTGCGCCGACTCACCCAGCCTGGGCGCGTCTGGGACCCGCCAACAGAGCGAGCCGCCGGAAACAGCTTCGCACGCCCATCCCTCCGCGTCCCGCCCTGTATACTTCCGCCCGTTCAGATCCGCTCGCCGGCCAGAGCATCTCGCTGGTTCCCCATCCCCGCCCCCGAGGTTACAGGAGTAGGGGCGGGTCCAGATGCGCGTGCTCGCTCCCTCCCTCTCTCTCTCTGCCGGTAAAGAGCTGGGCTAGCTGGTATTTCAGGCTAACCCTGACGAAGCGTAGCCCAGTTAGCTTTTGCTTAGCTTTAGAAAGAACTAATAAGCTCCAGAAACCTTTACCCTCCGGAGGCAGAGCGCACTGGCCCGGCTGTCCAGGGGGTGGCACAGGTAGGGGAAGCAGGAGGCTCGACGGGGTCTACCGCAGCTGTGGGGCCAGATGCACTAGGACCTGAGAGGCTGTGGAGGGGGATCCTCAGTGGAGGTCTCTTGCCCACTGCTCTAGTCTGGATGTACTTCAAACTCTCCTCAGCTGTTGCAAAAAGGAGCCGCGCAGTGTCTGAGCTCCCAGACCACACATCTGAGACTCAGAAAGAGAGCAGAGGTCACTAACAGGATCTGAAGATACACACAAATGCCAAGACGAAAATGTGAAAAAGTAAGGTAAAGTCTTACTTCAACCATACATCTTCAACCTCGGTGACATAGAGTGAGACCAAGCTGGGCCAGCCCACCGGAGATGTCTACCCCCAAAGCCTTCCTTGGAGCCAAACACCCCGGGTGTCTCATGCTTTTTGTAATATCCTTCCTTAGTCGATTTTTCTTCTCTGTCTCTGTCCCCACCCCTTGACAGGATTCCAACATATAAACCAGGCTAGCCTAAAATTCACTTTGTAGTCCAAACTGGATTTAACCTGCAATCCTCCTGCCCCTGCCCCCAAGTGCTAGAATCCATGCCAGCGCCTTCTTTGGTTAGGTAGACATGGAGGTTAAAGCATAATATTCAGGCTGAAGAAGGAAAAGGGTACACTTCTGATGAAAGATCCTGCCTGGCCTCACTGCCCCCTCCAAAGCCTTTACCCAAAATCCCTTAGAGTCCTTAAGCCCCAAAGTCAGAGTTTTGAGAAGAGAGTACCTCTTAACTTCTCAAGAATGCCGGCTCCTGAGTAAATCTGATTCCTTCTTCTCCCAACTCTCCTTGCCCAAACAGTGTTCTTAAACTATAGGAGAGCCTGGGCCTTATCTTCTAGTACCTAGGAGAAACTAGCAAAGGGGATTAGAGGTTGGCAAAACATAAAGGATAGTGTTATTGGTGATGAGGATATGAGTGTTTCAAGGAGGATAGGATAGAGGGGCCTGTTGTGTTAGTACTGCTGAGAGAGTGTGAGACGAAAGGAAGGGGAGGTTTTTTTTTAATATTTATTTATTTATTATGCATACAATATTCTGTCCAGACCTCATTACAGATGGTTGTCAGCCACCATGTGGTTGCTAGGAATTGAACACAGGACCTTTGGAAGAGCAGGCAATGCTCTTAACCGCTGAGCCATCTCTCCAGCCCCCGGAAGGGGAGGTTTTAACAATATCTGCGGGCTATTAGGAAGGAGAGAGAGGGTGTGTGTGTGTGTGTATGTGCTCGCATGCTCATGAGTGTCACCTCCAAACTGAAGGCTTTTGGAACCACCTGATCTTTATACTATGTCCAAAGACATAAGACTTCTGTTTCCTTGACATTTTATTATGTGTTTACTTTCTATTTTTTTTATTTATATGTATATGCAGCTGTAAGAGTGAATGCTATAGAAGCCAAAAGAGGGTGTAGGAACCCCTGGATCAGGAGTTACAGACAGTTGTGAGTCACCTGATGTCAGTGTAGAAACCCCTGGATCAGGAGTCACAGACGGTTGTGAGTCACCTGATGTCAGTGTAGAAACCCCTGGATCAGGAGTCACAGACGGTTGTGAGTCATCTGATGTCAGTGCAGGAACCCCTGGATCAGGAGTTACAGACAGTTGTGAGTCACCTGATGTCAGTGTAGAAACCCCTGGATCAGGAGTTACAGATGGTTGTGAGTCACCTGATGTCAGTGTACAAACCCCTGGATCAGGAGTTACAGATGGTTGTGAGTCACCTGATGTCAGTGTAGAAACCGCTGGATCAGGAGTTACAGATGGTTGTGAGTCACCTGATGTCAGTGCAGGAACCCCTGGATCAGGAGTCACAGACGGTTGTGAGTCATCTGATGTCAGTGCAGGAACCCCTGGATCAGGAGTTACAGATGGTTGTGAGTCACCTGATGTCAGTGTAGAAACCACTGGATCAGGAGTTACAGACAGTTGTGAGTCACCTGATGTCAGTGCAGGAACCCCTGGATCAGGAGTTACAGATGGTTGTGAGTCACCTGATGTCAGTGTAGAAATCGCTGGATCAGGAGTTACAGATGGTTGTGAGTCACCTGACGTGAATGCTAATGCCCTCAACAGATCTGCTCTCTTCTGATATGGGTTGTCCTTCTGTATATGTGTTACTCTTATTGGTTAATGAATAAAGCTGCTTTGACCTATGAAAGGGCAGAATATAGCCAGGGTGGCAGAGATAAATAGAGAGAGTAGACAGAGTCAGAGAGAAGCCATGTAGCTGCTGAAGTAGACAGATGCCCCAGAATTTTTATCAGTAGGCCACAGCCTTTGATTATACACAGATTAATAGAAATAGGGTAATCTAAAATATAAGAGTTAGTTAATAAGAAGCCTGAGCTAACAGACCAAGCAGGGCTATAATTAATATAGTTTCTGTGTGATTATTCAGGTCTAGATGGCCAGGAAATGAACTAGCAGTCTCTGCTTACATGTAGGACATGTTGTGTTGCCAGAAAAGGAGGCAGGAGCAGACCCCGGAGAAGATCTCAAGCTGCCAAAGATATTCCAAATATGAGGAGACCAGAACTTAACAAGAGCCTGGAATTTCTCCTGAACACTGGTGCTGATACAGAGTGACAAGGAAACTCATTTCGGAATTTTTTTTTCTGGTCATGTGGTATTTCTTTATTTTTGTTTTTCTTTTTTCTCATTATGGAATTTGCCTTCAATGTGACAAGGCTAGCCATTTAGGCAAGAAATTGCTCTTGCCTGGACTGCTTGTTGGTATGCTGTATGAACTGGACATGCAGAACCAACAGAAAAAATAACTGCTGAACTCACCTAAAAAAGGTGAGACAGCCCTTTAAGGTTCCTGCTTCATGAAAGAGTCTGCCAGACATTCTGCAGGACACAGAAGAAAGTGACTGACAAACTGCCAATATAAGCAAAATAGTATAAGCAAAATAGTCCTTCAAATTTTCTGTTTCATGGGAAAGTCTGCTGGATACTATGGGTCTATAGGTTGAAGCTGGATGCCCCAACATTACAAAAGAACTTTGGGTGACTGTCCAGGACAGGAAGTGAGATGTCTCTGTCAATTCTAGAGTTTTGGAAGCTGCTTACAGTGCACTTCCTGTTAACTTAGGTAATATTATATACTTCTGGAGTCTTTGATGGGGTTGAAGAATAGATAGTTATAATTATAGTTTTCCTTAGTTATGATAAAACATAAAATAGACATAAATATTGTAACTGTAATTCTTGCCTGATACCTATTTTGTTATATGTAATTTTACTATGTTAAAGTTAAAACCTTCATTTTTATTTATACAGAAAAGGGGAGATGATGTGGGATTCCCTTCTTTATGTTGTGAATATGTTTTATTACCATTGGTTAATAAAAAAGCTGCTTCAGCCTATGGCAGGGCAGAGTAAAGTCAGGTGGGAAATCCGAATAGAGATCTATAGAGAAAGTAGGTGGAATCATACAGATGCCGTGTAGCTGCTGAAGGAGACAGACGTCTCTGGAACCTCACCAGTCTGGGCATCCGGAAAACGAACGCACAGTCTCTGCTTACATTCTTCCAACTGCAGCAAATCTGTTTTCTTGCTCACTGATGGCTTTGCCTTCTACTCAGTACCAACAATTGAGTCTACTTTATCTGATCCTCTCTGAATTCCTGGGACACTAGGAATTGCAGACCTTGTGCCTCACTTCTCTGCCTGACTCATGGGAACTGTGTCATCGTCTATACTCCAAGCTCCCCACCGTATGCCTTTTGGAAAACCTCAGACTTTTGTGCTCGGTGCCCAATTTAAGGACTTCTAAACTCGTCTACCTTTGCAGTCAGAGCTGGCCCAAATACCCCTTAGAAAATGCTTTCTGGGGGCTGGAGAGATGGCTCAGCGGTTAAGAGCATTGCCTGCTCTTCCAAAGGTCCTGAGTTCAATTCCCAGCAACCACATGGTGGCTCACAACCATCTGTAATGAGGTCTGGTGCCCTCTTCTGGCCTTCAGGCATACACACAGAAAGAATATTGTATACATAATAAATAAATATTAAAAAAAAAAGAAAATGCTTTCTGATCTGTTCTCTTCCGCCTGCAACAAATCTACTTTCTCATTCACTGATGGCTTTGCCTTCCATTCAGTACCAACAATTGGGTCTCTGGTGGGGCTACCCACCTCTGACCATTCCCCTGGATGTGCGGCTTCCTTTCTCAGGCACAGTCCTCTCCTTGCCTTCTGGCTTTTCTCAAAGTCCTGGTAGCAGGCCACCGTGTTTCTCTTGGGTTCAGAGCCCTTAGCCCCTGTTCTTGCATGACGAAATACTGAACAGCTTGTGCCTACTCAGTCTGATCCTCCCTGGGACACCAGAATATTAAGGCCTGTGGATATTCTTTCTCTACCTCACTCATGTCCACTCAATCTTCCTCTGCTTCATCCTTGGGAATTTGAAGAACCACTGACCACCAGTTTCCGATCAAATCTGGCCTCAGTATTCCTTGGACCAGATAATTGGGGAACCGAGAAAAAATTCTCCATTTCCTTTTTTAAATTTATTTATTATGTATACAATATTCTGTCTGTGTGTATGCAGGCCAGAAGAGGGCACCAGACCCCATTACAGATGGCTGTGAGCCACCATGTGGTTGCTGGGAATTGAACTCAGGACCTTTGGAAGAGCAGGCAATGCTCTTAACCTCTGAGCCATCTCTCCAGCCCAAAAGTTCATAGTCTTAACATTAATCAATGGAATTTTGCTAAACAATAATCTGGCAGAGTACTACCCCTATGTGAGTATACTATTTTTTCTGTAATGTGATTTTGGTACAGATTACAAACAATGGGAATATTAATGTGTCTAAAACTTTATTTCATGAACTCCAGGGAGTTGACTTGGATCCACCTCAAACAGCATCTTACCCACAGAGCCTAGATAGCAAAGTGAAATAGCCAGATATTCCTGGAGTTGGCTAGCACCCCAGCTTTCTCGGGTCCCCCAAAGGTTGCAACACCCCCAGGTCAGCAGAAAGCAGTCTTGAGAACACAGCATCCTCATCTCTGCCTCACCTACTACCCCTTTCTAACTCCTCACCTTTTTATAATAAGCAAAAGGGAGGAATGTTATTATTCAGGCACTGTACTGGCCTGCCCTTGGGGTCCTGACAAGATCTGTCCTCAGCTGTGCCACTAAGAGCACACATTTACTATACTCCATTTTAAAAGGTGGGCCTTGCCCACTTTTCACCTCTCTCTCTCTCTCTCCCTCCTTTCCTCCCCACTCCCCGTCTCCCTCCATTTACTCTTGTCCTCAGGGTCCAGTCTCTGTCCCTCTCTCTACCCCTTATCTGCCTCCTTTTCTGCCCCTTCTCTCTCCTCTTCCAATAGGTCTCCCATGTGAGTCCTGTTGTATGGCATGACTTCTCTTCCCTCCAATTTTTTAAATAAACACCACTAAGGACCTTAGTTTGATCCTAGAACCTACATAGTGCAAGGAGAGAACTAACTCCTAAAGTTTTCCTCAGGCCTCCACACATGCACTTTGACATGTAAGCACACAAGTGCGAATACACACACACACACACACGCGTCAGTCAGTCAGTGAACCAGTGATATGACTTGGTCGGTAAGGTATTTGCTGCCAAACTTGAGGATCCGAGTTTCATCCTCAGGCCTTTTCTTAAAATAGGAGAAAATAAACTCCTGCAATTGTTATCTAGTCTCTTCCCACAAACTGTGGCAAGAGAGCTGTGGTGTGCGCCCATCCCTCACCAGTAAATAAAAAATTAATTTCATTTAAAAATTAAAGATAGAGCCGGGCGGTGGTGGCGCACGCCTTTAATCCCAGCACTCGGGAGGCAGAGGCAGGCGGATCTCTGGGAGTTCGAGGCCAGCCTGATCTACAAGAGCTAGTTCTGGGTTAGGCACCAAAGCTACAGAGAAACCCTGTCTCGAAAAACTAAAAAAAAAAAAAAAATTAAAGATAGAAAAATGCGGTGTGGGGGGGTAGTGGCACACACCTTTAATCCCAGCACTGGGGAGGCAGAGATAGGTGGATATCTGCGTTTGAAGCCAGGTTGGTCTACAGAGGGAGTTCCAGAACAGGCACGAAAATCAAAATAAAACAAAACAAAAAACACAAAAAGAAAAAAATTAAAGCTAGAGCTGTTATTTGCAGGAGAGGAGACTTCAGGGTGTGTCAACAGCAAGACGTCAGGGTGCGTCAATAGCAATCAAGTTGGAGTTTATTAAGAAAAGATTTCTGCTGCTAGAGAGATGGGTCAGTGGTTAAGAATACCAGCTGCTCTTCCAGAGGTCCTGGGTTCAATTCCAAGCACCCACGTGGCAGCCTACAACTGTGTGTAGCCCCAGTTCCAGGGGATCAACACCCTTATACAGCTATACATGTAGGCAAAACATCAATGTATGTGAAATTTTAAAAAATCATTAAATTTTTTTTAAAGATTTATTTATTATGTTTCCAATATTCCTTCCATGTATGCTTGCATGCCAGAAGAGGACACCATATTTCATTATAGATGGCTGTGAGCCACCATGTGGGAGCTGGGAATTGAACTCAGGACCTCTGGAAGAGCAGTCAGTGCTCTTACCTCTGAGCCATCTCTCCAGCCCCCATTAAATTTTTTTTAAAAAAAAGATTTCAAGTTGGGTGGTGAAGACAGTTCCTCCCGCGGTGCCAGGTTTCGGCAGGCTATTCTCAGCCCTAGCATAGAAATTTAATAGAGGAGAGCTCAAATGCAGTCCTCGATTACCACAGTCCTGCATTTGGGGACTCGGCAGGGGGCAGCATCTGGAGGATAATGGATAAGCCATTAAGAAAAGATTCTCCCTTGCCAGGTAAGTATATAAGTTCTTTCTTTAATTTTTTTTTTTTTTTCATTTTGCTTCCATGTATGTCTGGGCACCATGTGCATGAAGTACCTACAGAGACCAGAAGAGGACATCAGAGACCCTGGAACTGGAGTCACAAATGGGCTTTTTTTTTTAAATTTATTTTATTTTATTTTTTAAAATATTTAATTTTATTTATTTTGACTTTTGGATTTTTCGAGACAGGGTTTCTCTGTAGCTTTAGAGCCTGTTCTGGCCCTCACTCTGTAAGCCAGGTTGCCTCGAAATCACAGAGATCCACCTGTCTCTGCCTCCCTGAATGCTGTGAATAAAGGCATGTGCCAATCCCCCCACCCCCTGTCCGGCATCACAAATAGCTGTGAGCTGCCAAGACTTGGACCCTAGGCTTCTGGAAGAACAGTTAGTACTCTTAACTGCTGAGCCATCTTTCAGTCCCAGTTTCCATGAATTCTACCTGGAAAACGATGGAAAGGAAAGGGCACCTAGAAGGTGCATCAATATCATAGTTTTTCCCTAATGGTGCCTGCCATGCTTAGCAGTGAGCACAGACACAGCTGTAAGGCTGTGTCTCAGCAGTGCGACACTGTCACCAGCCTGGGTCCCCAAATTATAATGGATTTTCCTACCCATCTCGGCTTATGTCCAGATGCCGCTTGCTAGAAGTAGGTCAAGCTCTTTACCAGTACCCACATGCTTCCAGCTACCAACTACTCAGCCATCACAGATTCCCAGATGTGCAGGCACGCTGGGCCAGGAGGTGTCCGCCAGGCTCCATCTAGTCTGAGGCCATTTGGACCTTGGGGTCATTATTGTCTCATTATAACGATGAAAGCCACCCACCGGTTCCCTAGGAGAAATAGGAAACTAGGAAAAAATAAAGGTGGCACCTTGACCCCTGGAAATAGATCTCTTCACAAAGATATGACAGTTGGTAAGATGGCTGTGCTTGTGATCACAGAGCTAGGAGGCCGAGGGTTGAGCAGTCCACACCCAGTCTGGGCTACACAGCAAAACTGTCTCAAGACAAAACAAAACTCTCAAAATATCAACGATAGCATTCATACCACAATTCCCATAACCCAGTCCTAGTTAAAACCCAGGCTCCAAGGTCAGCCTTTCTGGCCCAGGCCTGTAATCTTAGCACTGGGCAAGGGACAGAAATAGATCACCACACATTCAAGACCAGCCTGAGCCAGTGAATTCTAGGAAAACATGGGGTAGAGAGTGAGATCCTGTCTTTACAGAGCAGTCGCTGTTATGGGAATCCGTCTGGAATAACTGCTCTGCCACCAATGAGAGCAGAAGAGAAATGTCCCCTGCTGACCGGAGCCAGGACAGCTCATGAGAGGCTTCGGTCCTGGGGCCAGTGTGTACACTCATTTTATACCATAAAACCACAAGGTGGCAGGCAGGTTTTATTTTATTTACTTATTTATTTATTTTAAGCAGCAGTGACCCATTACTTCAACTATTTCTCCAGGCCATTCTGTTTCAGGTAGCAAATGATGTCATGTTTGGCAAACCAGCAGCACAAACAGTGCTTTAAGTCAATCACTAAATAAATCACCAAATCAGTATCGAACAATTGGTCTTTTCTACTTCACCACTAACAGAGATTCAGACCTTAGATCTGCCCTGGGAGAAGAGGATCCACTCCACGTCTCTATTCATGACCATTAAATAAAACAGACTGTCAGCCTCAGGATCTGTTTGGTTACTTGCCAGTGGTACTACTGAATAAAAGAACCTGAAATTCAGAAACAGCATCAAAGGAAGCGTTGTAACCAGGGGGCTATTCAGAAGACCTAGGCAGGAGAATTGTACAAATTCAAGGCCAGCCAGGGCTTCATGACATCCGTTTGAAAAAATGCTTTGTTTCTATGTGGCTTAAATGCCCACAGGTACAATTAAGATTATAGGTACAACTGAGAATACATCAGGACTGATTCTCCAACAATGTTCACATTAAAAAAAATTATACTGTCACAATAAATTTGAGGGCTGGGGAGATGGCTCAGCAGCTAGAAATACTAGCTGTCTAATTTCCACTGGCTCAGTTTGTGTGCGGTGTGAAAAATACTTTGGGCAAAAGATAGTCTTTAACTTGAAAAATCTTTCTTCGTCCCAGCGAACTCTGCCTCCTTTGTTTTACCAAGTTCTCTCCCCACTCCCCTCCCCTCCCTCATTCTCTGTCTGTGTCTCTCTTTGTGTCTCTGTGTTTCGTGTTTCTGTCTCTCTGTCCAGGGTCTCTCTCATAGTCCTGGCTGTCCTGGAACTCACTATGTAGACCAGGCTGGTCTCAAACTCACAGAGATCCTCCTGCCTCTGCCTCTCAAGTGCTGGGATTAAGCTCGGCTTGTGTGGCCTTTTCGAAACAAGGTCTTGCAATATATTTCATGCTGGCCTGGAATTCGTAATCCTCTTGCCTCAGTTTCCCAAACCCTGGGATTACAGGCCGGCCACAAACACCCAGCCTAGGCGTTAGTTACTTAACCTGCGCTTTACTTGTGATTTAGTTTATGACAATAAGGAAAAGCAGCGTAGTGCAGATCCTACTAGTGGAGTCTACAGAGCATATTTGGCTAGCACTGGCAGGAGAGTGGTGAACATCCCCACAGCTCCGCCCAGCCCCAGCGTAGGGGCGCCGCGCTCTGAGACCCTAAAGAAGCACCGGAAGTGCGCGGCCGCCTTCGCCGCGCGCGCCTGCGCAGCTTGGCTGTTCCGCCCCCAGGCGGCAGTTTGCTTGCCCCTCAGCGCGGGCCGGGCCCGTTGTGGGTGGGTTGCTGGTCCAGAGCGCCCTGCCCGAGGTGAGGCTGCCGCGGTCCTGTCGCTTTGCAGGTGGGCACGGACAGCCGGCAGGCAGGTGTAAGGGCGTCGGTCGAGTCGTGGAAAGACCTCGCCGAGCCGAGGGACTCGGCGGGTCTCCAGCTGGCTGCCTTAGCTTCTGGCCAAGGGCGCTGATGATGCTGCGACACCTGGGAGGAGGGATAGTGGAGGAGGCAGCGGTCCCAGCCAGACGGACCACCCAGCAACGGGAAGACCGGTGGGAGGGACAAGCCGCTGCGGGCAACGCGGCTTTGGGAGGCATGGATGTGAAGGACGATGGCCTTTAGGTTTTGCCAAGAGCTGGTCCTCGCCGCCTGTTTCGTGTCCTCTCACACCCGCAACCCTGGGAGGCCTGTCGCGGTGAGGTCCAGAGCCTTTTCCAGGCTGGCCCTCTAAGGCTGAGGCGGTGCTATGCGCCCATCCTTGGTGTCGTGGTGCATGGCTGGAGCTGCCAGCTTGCACCGTGCTTGGGGCAGTTCTCAGTTTGGATAGCAGCACGGGACAGGTCACACGCTGGCTCTCACGGCTTCAGTACACCCCAGAAGGCCACTTCAGGAGCAAGGTCTGTCGTCTTCCTCTTGACCGTCTGTCCACTGCCCCAGCTGAATGGGGCCGAGTTTGTCTGTTTTCTTTTCCCGAGTGTAAGTTGGAGAGGCCTCAGGCCGGGGCTGCCTCCTGCCTGCTACGGATTCCAAGGTGGTTCACGGGCCAGATGGCTGCCAAGTCCTGCTCGGGGGCTCCGGTGAGTTACTCTTTCTCCCTCCTGCCCTGGTCACAAGCCGTCTCCTCTAGAGCTGTGAGGCCAGCCGATAATGAAGCTGAAAAGGACTAGGATGCAGGGATAGCCCTCTGTGTCCTATCGGTCCTTGCCTGGTCCCTTGGTCGCAACTCTGCTACCCCATGAGAAATCAAGAAGCCACACCCCTGGTGCAGCATATTGTCATTCCAGGGAGAGATGCCTCTGACCTTCCAGGATGTGGCTGTGTACTTCTCCAGGGCAGAAGGGCAGCAGCTGGGCCCCCAGGAGCGGGCGCTCTACCGGGATGTGATGTTGGAGAACTATGGGAACATGGCCTCACTGGGTGAGAAGTGCCCTGGAGCCCTGGCTCACAGTGGGGAGTCTCTAAGGGACATTGGGGCTGATTTGGCCCTTTGATTCCCAAAGGAAAGAGGATCCTGCTCTTGTCCCCAGGGACCAGTCTGCCTAGTTCTAGTGACGATTTTCCAATAACCTCAGGGTGTCATCCCTTTCCCTGTCTAACAATAGGAATTCTTAGGCATTTGAACTCTTTGCCCCTTGGTCTCCCCTGACCAGTGTGCCCATGCAGGCAGAATGTTCTCTATCTGGTGTGCAGGACCCAGCAGGCAGGGTCCTGCTCCAGCCCCCGAGGCTGCAGCAGCTCATCCAGGGTCCTTATCCTTAACAGGATTTCCAGTCCCTAAGCCAGAGCTGATCTCCCAGCTGGAGCAAGAGGAGGAGCTGTGGGTCCTGGATCTTCTGGGGCCTGAAGAAGCAGAAGTCTTAAGAAGTTGCCAGACAGGTGAGCTAAGCTAGAGGCTGGTCTCAGGAATGGCCTCCCAGAGCCCTGGCTTTGGTAGCTGGAGGGAGGGCTAGAAGTGAAGGCAGATATGGTGATGGTATGCAGTCACCCTCTCTAAGGGAAGACAGCGCTTGCATGCATGTGCTTGACAGGTTTTCCTTTGCCAGGCCATTTGCTTTGCCTAAAAAAAATGGGGGGAAGATGATGGTGGCACACGCCTTTAATCTCAGCTTTTGGGAGGCAGAGGCAGGTGGATTGGATCTCTGTGAGTTTGGGGCCAGCTTGGTCTACAGAGCTAGTTACAGGGCTATTACACAGAGAAACCCCGTCTCAAAAAGAAAAAACCAAAACTAGTATTGTAGTTTCTGGTCCTAACGTGATTTGTTCTTTTACACACCTTCATGAACTTTTTTGTAGGATATACTTTCTCTTCTCTTACTTGCTCCAGGTTCTGTATCATGCTCCTTCCTCCTTCATCTCTTCCTCTTCAGTCCTCAGTGTTGGTCAGCAATACTTCCTTGTTCTTGAGACTAGGCCTTTTTGTGTTTCTCAAGCGTGTCTCAAACACTTGGATCAAGTCATCCCTTCTGGAGCCTCGGCCTCCATAGTAGCTGGAACTAAAAGCATATACCACCACGCTTAGATCATTAACAGTTTTTTTTTAAATATTTATTTATTTATTTATTATGTATACAATATTCTGTCTGTGTGTATGTCTGTAGGCCAGAAGAGGGCACCAGACCTCATTCCAGATGGTTGTGAGCCACCATGTGGTTGCCGGGAATTGAACTCAGGACCTTTGGAAGAGCAGGCAATGCTCTTAACCACTGAGCCATCTCTCCAGCCCCGATCATTAACAGTTTTGTTTTGTTTTCTGTTTTAGTTTTTCGAGACAGGGTTTCTCTGTGTAGCTTTGGAGCCTGTCCTGGAATTTGTTCTTTAGACCCGGCTTGTGTACCACCACCACTCCTCCCTTTAGCGCTCTTTAAAATGTCCCTTAGAGATCCCTTCCTCCCTTCCCCTTGCCTCAGCCTCCTCAGGTAGGAAGCTTTGAACTTGCTGTGTTCAAGAAGGATGGCCTTGAAATCCTCATCCTCCTGCCTCTGCTTCTCAAGTGCTAGGATTATATTATAGGCATGTGCAACCACACCTAGCCCTTTGAATCTTTATTTTATTGACTATTTTCATTGTCAGCTCTAAGTATTTTGACTCTCAGCTACTGCTGGGGCTCATTCTGTTGTCTGCTCTTCTCCTTGTTCCTCTCTGTCCTGTTTTGTACATGCTCTGTTCCTCACTGTCAGAGTGGATTGTACTTCATCAGGCGTGTCCTCACGTTTGCTGTTACTCTATTTCATAAAGTTAATCACATCAATTCTTTGCCCTTTATTAGTAGTTGGTCCTTTTCCCAAACATGAATGCATCATCATTTTTGAGTGATTCACTTAGGCTCTTTTAAAACTATTTTTATTATCTCAAGTATTTACAGATTTGAAATTGGCTGCATGAAGCCTATCTTTTCTAAAATTGGGAGCTTAGATCATTGATTTTTAATTTTCCTTTTTAAAGATGTCTAAAGCAAGGCTTTATGAAAGTACAACCTTAAATATAGTTCATGTTTTACAAATACTACTGTTGTGTATGCATGTACGTCTATGTTGAGGTATGTGTATACTTTAGTTCAGGTGGCTGCAGAGGTCAGAAGCATCAGATCTCTAGGAGACAGAGGCATTGCAGGCTGCCAGATATGAGTACTGGGTACCAAACTCAGGTCCTCTGGAGATCAGTATGTGCTCTTAACTACTGATATATCTCTCTGGTCTGTCCTCGTGTGTGTGTACACACATGTATGCATGCACACATGTGAGTGCTGGATAATGAATGCATGCATGATAGGCAAGTGCCCTACCAATGAGCTATATCCTGAGCCCTTTTTTATTTATTTATTTATTTATTTTTTTATTTATTGTGTATACAATATTCTGTCTGTGTGCATGTCTGCAGGCCAGAAGAGGGAACCAGACCTCTTTACAGATGGTTGTGAGCCACCATGTGGTTGCCGGGAATTGAACTCGGGACCCTTGGAAGAGCAGGCAATGCTCTTAACCACTGAGCCATCTCTCCAGCCCCCCCCCCCCCGAGCCCTTTTTGTGTCTTATTTTGAGACAGGGTCTTAGATGCTCATGCTGGCTTTGAGCTCACTTTATAGTTTCAGCTGATTTTAAGTTTTAAGTTTGTGATCTAACCTCATTATAGACCTGCACCATCAGGCTTAGGTACATTTCAAGAATTTTCCATAGGCCATATTAGCTTTTTTTTTTTTTTAAACAATTCTGTGGCCCAATCACTATTTGGACAGGTAATTTTCTTTTTTTTTTTTAATTTTATTTATTTTAAAGATTTATTTATTTATTATGTATACAGTGTTCTGTCTGTCTGTATGCTTGCTGGCCAGAAGAGGGCACCAGATCTCATTACAGATGGCTGTGAGCCACCATGTGGTTGCTGGGAATTGAACTCAGGACCTCTGGAAGAGCAGCCAGTGCTCTTAACCTCTGAGCCATCTCCCTAGCCCTATCTTATTGTTCTTAGTTTATTGTGTAATTCCACTGTGGTCAAGGAGCATAACTCTCTGTATGGTTTCATTCTTATATTTGCTAGATGTCTTAGGACTTCCAGGCCTCTTGGTAAGCATACTCTGTGTAGTAGTAACTCTTCCGTACCTGTGATCACCCGGCAAAAAGCTACTTAGAAGAGAAAGGGATTTGTTTAGTTTGGCTTGGAGTTCAGAGGTGCGGGGAGAGTCATGGCAGCAGCAGGAGGTGAGGCCAGCCTGGCAGTCGGGACACAGCCTGATCATATTTCATCTGCAAAAGGAGGTGATAAAAAGAACCATGGATGGGGACGGAAGTCTTTCAGCAAGGCACCATAGCCTCCAAACGCCCAAAGAGTACCACCATCTAGGGACCAAGTATTCAGATACATCAGCCTGTGGGAGACATTTCTCATTGAAACCATGATATCCATGTAAAGAGATGGGAATTGTTGGTGTTCTGTAGTTACAGGATTGTGCGATGTCATTTAAGTTGACGAAGCTAATGCTGTGACTCATATTTTCCCCAGGGTGTCTTGTTTTTTTTGTTGTTGTTGTTGTTGTTGTTTACTTGTTTATTTTTTTCAGTTGCTAAGAATATCTAAGGATGTAAAGTTTACTTTCCCTTGGATTTATTCGGTGTCTGTTACTGATTTGTTCTCATTTATGAGATAAGAGATACATTTTGGGTGCTACGAGCATAGTAGCTACCCCCTTCTTTCTGTTTCTGTTAGCATGGAGTATCTTTTCCATCTAGTTAATTTCACTTTATATTTAAAGTATCTGTCTTCCAGATAGCACACAGTTGGGTCCCATTTTCTATCCATTTTATCTTTTAATTTTTGTGTTCATCTTTAATTTAACTCTTTTCTTGCTTCCATCCCTTCCTCTCCACTTATGCTCCAGTGTTGAGGATAGAACCTAGAGACTCTTTCATGCTAGGCAAGCACTCTGCCACTGAGCTGCACCCCTCGCCATAGTGCAGTATTTAGTAGATAATAACGTTGTTGTTGTTACTTTCTTGTGGTTTTGTTCTGTTTTTTAGCTTGTTTTCTATTTTGACTTGAGCCAGGGTCTCTCTATGTAGCCCTAGCTGTCCTAGAACTCACCGTGTGGACCAAACTGGCCTTGAACTCACAGAGATCCACATGTGTCTGCTTCCCAAGTGCACCACGACACCTGACTTCTTGTTTTTGTTTTGACACAGGCTCTCATGCAGCCCAGGAGGGCTTCAGACTTACTGTGCATTTGAATCTGGCCTTAACCTCTTGATCCTTCTACCTACAGCTCCCAAGTTCTGGACTTAACCACCATGCCTCTAGGTTTTGCACTTATTTCCTTTTTGAATACTTCTTATTTCTCCATTCCCTTTTCTTTTATAGCATCCTACTATCCTTTATTTTAGCCATAAAGAATATATATGTGGGTGCATGTGTATACATACACAACTTTAAATTTCATTATACAGTATTATAAAGGACCCAACACTGCTACCCTCCAGAAAAACAATTTGCCCACTGCCTAGCTGACCCAAGGAAGGAGAATCCCAGTGCCCTAGTCAGTCTGTCTGTGGAGCACAGCTCACAGAAAGTGAGGTCTGCCTGTGCTGTGGTCCTCTCCCCTCCCCTGGTCCTGAGCATATTGCTGGGACCTGCTCACTGCTGCTCTTTCACTCACATCTGATTGCCTTTTAACAGAAACTGGAAGGCAGGAAAATATTCTTCCTTTTGAGACACTCGTATACAGGTCAGCTTGGCCTCTCTCTAGTTCCTGCTTCAGACTCCTGGGATCGCAGGTGGGCACCACTCCACGTGACTCAACAATATATGGTCCAAAGGCAATCTCAGAAATTTTAAAATACTTTGCACTAAGTTAAAATTCCACTTGCCAACATGTGTGGAATGCAATGAGAGCAGTGCTTTCTATAGAAATTGATGTAGTAAACGTGTAGTTCCTTGTATAAAAAAGATGAGAGTGTTATGTGGCTTAACAAGCTGAAGTAGAACTGAGTAGACTTGGGGGAAGAGGTGATAAACAATTTAAGACAAAAACAGGAGTATTCCAGAAAGATCTCGTGGCCATGTCTCTCTGATCCACAGTTTGCTTTTCTATACAGTTTCTCTTTGGAGGGGACCTGGGGGCAGTCAGTGGGCGTTGCATTGGCGAGGCTGAGTCCTTCACTGTTTTGGGGTAGGCAGATGCATACTCCCAGGTGGTTTTACCTCTGTAGGGGCTTTCTTCCATTGTTCTTCCATCCTTTTGTTCCCTGCTCAGTTAACTGATCCCTTTTCTAGAAACCATGTTAACTTGAACTCCACTCATTCTTGTGTTGGACTTTGAAAGGTCCCAAATGGATTTCTGTGAGATTTGATCTTCTCACGTGCTTTATTCAGCCTTTCCCATCTGTGGG